TGTTTCACTCAAAATTATAAGCTAGTCACATTTTGTGCCAGTCAGATTTTCTTTTTCTTTTCTTTTTTTTTAAATTTTCTTTATTTATATCATATTCACAAGTATAATCATGGACAGAATAGAACACAAAAATGACAACATCAAATTACAAGTGACCAATACATGCAGTAAAATACATCTTTAGCATTCTGTGCTCTTTCCACCCAAACCTGCAACTATTAATAACAAACAACCCTAAATTTGAATATAGTTATGAAACACTCTATACCAACTCTTGTGTGCATCCTGAAATCTCCAAAATAGCTTTAACCCTTGGAATTACTATTGACTAAAACAAACTAGACAGATTTAGATAATAATGATTCCAGTTAAACTTCAAATCCATTGGCATTTCTGTGCCATTTTCCATCCTAAAGATACACCAGCCACAACTGCAAACCAGGGAAATGAGACAGTGCTTTATACGCGTTTTGTTGGTGTTGAGAGAGAGAAATCTTCCTTGGAGGACTTTGTGATCATACCACTGAAGATGACTGGCATTCCATCAAAGAACTATGATAAAGTAATTCCTTAATTAGCATCAGAGGTCATTTCGGGGGGGAACGCGGGGGAACGCAGTTCCCCCGGGCGAGGTACGGGGGGCGGGGCACATGACGAAGCCCCGCCCCCTGCTTCCGGCTGCCCCGCTTCCGGCCCTCATTCAGCCAGGAGGAGGCAGGAGAAGAGGGAGGGTAAGTTGCTTCCTCCCTGCCTCTCCCCACCCCTGCCTGCCTGGGGCCAGGGAGGGCCTTCGCGGGGCTTCCTTGCACTCCCGCTGGCCTTGCAGGTCCACCGCCGGGCCCCTCATGGGGCTCGGCAGTGGAGCTGCAAGGCTGGCGGCGGCTGGGACCGTTGGGGGCGGGGTGTGTGGCCTTATGACACACTTCCGGTGATGTCAGGGGGTGTGGCCTTATGACACACTTCCGGTGATGTCAGGGGGTGTGGCATATGCTAATGAGTTATGCTAATGAGTTCCCCTAGCTCTTTTTCTACGAAATGACCCCTGATTAGCATGTAAAAGGAAGGAACATGTAAGGAAAATGCACCACACCGAGATGAAATGTGATTGTAGCCTGTAATATGTGAAGGTCTGGCTATTGGGGGATTTGCCTCTTGTCTCCAGTATAAACTAGAGAAATGCATTTGCTGAGAAACACTTGTTTTTATGGCTTCCAGCCAGTAAGCTTAGGGTGTTCTGGACAGGGGTAATCGACCTTGTTCAATTAACCCTTGCTAGCAGACCACTGACACTATATGTCTATCTAAACAGTGCAGAACTAACTGAATCCCAAATTAACTATTGATAGAGGAAGTAGGTGATATGGAGGGCACATCAGCACTAAATGGGAATAGGAGGCTGTTTTGCCTTACCAGATGCTTGCCAGAGTGGATTTTTGCAGTGCTTAATAACTCACATCTATATTTTGGCCACCATATATTATGAGTAATGGACCTGAGACACAAAGTATTTAAGATTAAGATGAGGACAGGCTGGGAGTAGGTAGCATATAAAAGTTTTCTGTAGAACAAAAAGTGTTGAGCAAGAAAGAATCAATGCATATGAAGATGTGTGTTGACAACAAGGTGGAACCAGAACCATGTTCACGTGAAATTACCCCACATTTGATTCAAGGTCAAAGATGAATTAAAATAACATAAGGACAATACTTCCCTTACACCATTACTGGTTCAGTGACTAAAGAGCTTGGTCTGATCATGAAAAACAGGGGCTTCTGGTGGGCAATGCAAGTTTAAATTCTGCCATTTGTGTGCCCATTTGAAGCAAACCTTTGCGTGGGAAATGTGAATGCAACAGGTTCTGCTTGTGGCTAAAGGCAAACAGATGAATTACCAAGAGTCCTTGCTGGGGTGATGTTTCTCTCTGGGACAACACACACACCCCTCCATTTAGTATGACTGGATTAGGTTTGTTTCTGCTTCTCTTGCTGGATCTCTGTCATGGTTGGAAACCTCTTTACAGGCCCAGATGCAACTTTGGGCTTTTCCTCACAGGTTTTTTTCATCGGTTTTGGCTCCATCCTGCTTCAGTTTATCCTCTGATTTTCGCATGTATTTTTGTGCCTTTAGTTTTGACTTCGTTTTTTTGGGGGGGGGCATTTTTCCTGGTTGTTTTGAGAACGGGAGGAATTTCACATTACCCTTTTTAACCCGTTTTGAAGCCATTTTTGATCCGTCATGGAGTAAACCGGTATAGGGCTGCCATTTCACACATGGCTTTCCCCTTCTGGTAAACAGCTGGATCTGAAGCGGTTTGCCATTTCAAACTGCAACACTTTTCCCCGGTTTTTCCCCGCCATTTTTTGCCCGCATGGGCGGTCTCCGGCTTTTTTTTTTTTAGAATGTTCACTTTATAGCGTTATAAACAGAGGTCAATTCGGGGGGATCGTGGGGGATCGCAGTTCCCCCGGGTGAGGTGCGGGGGGCGGGGCACATGACGAAGCCCCGCCCCCTGCTTCCGGCCGTTCTGCTTCCGGCCCTCATTCAGCCAGGAGGAGGCAGGAGAAGAGGGAGGGTAACTTGCTTCCTCCCCGCCTCTCCCCACCCCTGCCTGCCTGGGGCCAGGGAGGGCCTTGGCGGGGCTTCCTCGCACTCCCGCTGGCCTTGCAGGTCCACCACCGGGCTCCTGATGTCAGGGGGTGTGGCATATGCTAATGAGTTATGCTAATGAGTTCCCCTAGCTCTTTTTCTACGAAATGACCCCTGGTTATAGCACTATAATAAAACACTCCAGGCATTCCAATGGTGTTGATATGCTGCTGTTCCGTTATAAAGCAAACATTTTTTAAAAAGAAAAGCCGGAGATTGCCCGCGCGGGCGAAAAACGGCGGGAAAAAGCGCATCGGAACTGGGAGAGGAAATGGAAGACTACTTGGAAGCGGTTGACAGGTAAAATGCTTCAGCCCCATTTCCTAAATGGGACAGAAGCGTTTGTGTCTGAAATTAAAAATATATTCCGGTAGGGAACTGGTTTTAAAACGGTTCTGTCTGAAATGACAGACCAGAAACCATTTGGGAACTGTTCCTCTTCCGGATTATATTGTCTGTCTGAAATTCCTCCGCTTTTTCCCAAATATTTTTCTGAAAGCTGGTTTTGAGTTGTCTTTTTCCTCCTGCATAAGATCTCTGTTGGTTTTCTTTGTCCCACCCACTCCCACCCACTTCCCGCCCACTGTTCAATGATTGGAGTGTTGTGGTCAAACAACTCCCTCCCTCCTCCCCACCCACCCTGAAGATGAGTGGTTTTGTTTTCTGTTTTTGAAACAGAACTAAACTGTCAATATTTTGCTAGAACATTGTAACAATAGACCTCAGAGGTTTTCTGAATTCTCAGCTTTCATTTTAAAAAGTAAATCTCTAGCTGTTTCTCTCGTGGAGATGTTTCTCTCATGGAGAGCCAGTTTGGTGTAGTGATTAAGAACGGCAGACTCTGATCTGGAGAATTAGGTTTGATTTCCCAGTCCTCCACATGAAGCCAGCTGGGTGCCCTTGGGTCACTCACAGGTCTCTCAGAGCTGTTCTCTCAAGAGCAGTTCTCTCAGAGCTCTCTCAGCCCCACCTACCTCATAGGGTGTCTGTTGTGGGGAGAGGAAGAGAAGGAGATTGTAAGCCACTTTGAGACTCCTTTAGGTAGAGAAGGGCAGGGGTATAAAACCAACTCTTTTTTTTCCTTATAGCTCCTCAAGAGAGGGGGATAGAGACTTTTCTTTAATGAAAGCTGGGAATTCAGAGAACTTCCTAAGACTATTGTTACAATGCTCTAGCAATATATCAATATTTTAGTGCCTTTTTTAAAGGGAGGGGCGGTGTGATGCCACCAATGAACCCAACAATGACAACAGCACCCTCCCTTGAAAATCCTCATTATTGAATGGAAGTGCAGAATAAAATAAAAATCAACTGACTCCACAACTGTGAAAACGCAGAGGGAGGTCAGACAAGCAGATGAACCCTGCCCAAACCAATTCCAATGCTTATGAGTCAACTGCAAAGAAAACCAGGAGTGAGTTGGAACATGCAGAAAAGCCCACACACTGAGAGAAGCTGGTTCTAGCACCTAGCTGGGGGAGGGTGCCACACACAAAATGGAGGAAGTTCTGTCTTTCATGAATTTGTCTAGTTCCAAACCACTAGTTTGGTGTAATGGTTAAGTGCGCGGACTCTAATCTGGGAGAACTGGGCTTGATTCCCCACTCCTCCACTTGCACCTGCTGGATGACCTTGGGCAAGCCATAGTTCTTCTGGCACAGCTGTTCTTGAAAAAGAGCAGTTTCTGCCAGAACTCTGTCAGCCCCACCTCCCTCACAGGGTGTCTGTTGTGGGGAGAGGGAGGGAAAGAAGTTTGTAAGCCACTCTGAGACTCCTTTGGGTAATGAAGGGTGGGGTATAAATCCAATCTCTTCTTCTTCCATACTAAAACCACGTTACCACCACCATTTCTTGAGGCCGTGAATCCCATAAATTATGTGTTGTGCTTCTGTACTGAATCTACTGCACATCCATTTCATTGGGTTCCTCTGAGTTTTAGCATTATGGGAGGGGGAAATGTTCCTTTCTCCTTCTCCTGATCATGTCTAACCCCATGTTACCCCCTCCTGTTTTTTTTTAAAAGCCCCAGACTCTTTAGCTTTGCATTGCATGTAAAGCGCTCCAATCCAAATCCTATTTTGCTTTCCCTTTTCTGTATATTTTCCCAATGTGTGTTACACTTTGTGGGATGGGGTGACCATGAGGGCAATAAAAACAGACCTATTTTTCAGACAATTTTACTGATATACAAATCAGGCAGGTATATATTTATGATGGGGACTGAAACAAACAAACAAAAACCCTGAATCAAGTTTTAAAAAATAAAAAATGTGTGTTCATCTTTAGAATGAAAAACTAGACAGAACTTACTCTGACCCAGCAAAATAACTCTTATGTCACATTGCTGCCCTTACTCTTGGCACTCCGTCTTCTTGGCACTCCCACGCCCGGCCTCCCCGTAAGGCAGCGGCACTACTGGGACTTTTAGCACCATCTTTCAGGCAGACTGCTGTGTTTTATTGGTTTTAATGTCTTTTTAATGATGTATTATATGATATGATGTTGTACATCACCCTGAGCTCTGTCTTTTTGGGGAAGGGCGGTTCAAGAATAGAATTTAATTAATTAATTAATTAATGACAAATTACATGCAGAGGAATCACAGTTTTGGGAGTGTGCTATCGCAGCATCCACAAACGAGCAGTCAACCTGGAGCCAAATTTGGACCCACAAAGGGTATTTATTACGTGGTCTCCCCAGGTGTAAAACTAGATGTGGAGTAGGATTGCCAGGTGTGCCCTGGCCACTGGTGGTGGCAGGTGGGTTAGGGTAGCCAGCTCCAGGTTGGGAAACTCTGAGAGATTTGGGGATGGAGCCTGGGGGGAGGACAGGGACCTCAGTGGGGTACAGTGCCGCAGAGTCCACCCTCCAAAGCTCCAATTTTCTCCAGGGGAACTGATCTCTGTAGTCTGGAGATAAACTGTAATTCCAGGGAGTCCCCAGGTACCACCTGGAGGCTGGCATCCCTATGTTGAAAAGGGGTATGACACCTGCAACAATGCACAAGAGAGGGGTTGGGATCTTAGCTTTCATCCACCCCCCACTTGATTCCTTCTCAAAAAGGCCGCCTGACAAAACTAGATGCTGGCCTGGAACTTAGAAGTAAATCTGTGTGGGTGTATAGGGTAAAGTAAGAAAACGATAGAGAGTGTTTAGGAAAGGAGGCGTTCAAGAAGCCTCAGTTACAAATTGTACAGACGGGTAAACATCCTGGCCGTGATACTCTCTCATTTAATCAAGACTATTTTTTAAAAAGAAAGCAACAGAAACATTAACATGGTTAAATAAAGGTTTATTGCACACTGCCTGAGTAAATCAACGCAATGCACCGAGCCATCTAATCAGAGTCGGAGACACGTATCAACCATAAACTCCAGTTTCATGAAACTGCTTATAAACCTTGAGAGCATATCTGGTCTCTAAAGCGAAAGCTTTCATAAATAATAATATCATTATTCAAAACAGCAGTCATGCAAGGGCTTAGAGCATATGGAAGCTAAAGGGGCATAAACAAAGGAACAAAACCTCGGCAAACACTAGTTGAGAACCTATTTCTTTAAAAATATATATTTTAGCTATCCATCATCTGGCACCTCCCATGCTTTTCCAAATGTGAAATGTAAAACACAAAATAAAGGTTATATCATCGCGGCTGCAAGCTGCATATATTTATATTAGCACATGTGATGCTTTGGTGCCCATTCAACAGAAGTGTAATAGTCCTAAACCAGTGCATCAGGCACAGGTAATTTCTGCAAGATAATACACAGGCCTGGTATGTTCCTTAAGGGCTATTCAGGGTTCTTGAAAATGCCATCCGTCCTGACCTATCTGTGGCCGCCCAACCTCATTTCCTGCCTGGGCTGTGTATATGGCATCAGGGTACATGGTGGGATCCAGCGGCATAGGAGTGTCGGCCTCAAAAGGGATGAAGCTGTCGGGGAGGCCTTGAGTCGCTAGTGGGTTTACAGTGGCTTGGGGCATGCCTCCAGGTCCTTTACTCTGCCCAGCGGGGTTCATCAGGTTGCTGTTGGACAGAGCACCTCCTGGGTTGTTGCCATTTACAGAGACAACGACGTTGTTCCCATTGCCTGAAGGGTTAGCGGCCTGTTTAGCTCCTCCTTGAACTTCAGGCTGTTCTGTTATTCCAAGCTGATCGTCTTCTACAGTGTAGTCACCTGGCTGCCCTAGTCTGTTCTGTGGTGGGCTTCCAAATCCAGCACCCATGGAAAAGAGATCTGGGCTCATGGCACGATAGGCTGGTGCACCAAGCCCACCGCCCTGGAAAAATATTTTGACACATTTAATGAATCACCACAACTATTTCAAATTATTTGTTTTAACATTGCTTATCAGGGAATGATGAGTATTTCATCCAAACTGGAAGCCCAGTTTAAATGTTTGCACTGGTTTTTCTGCTTGTACCTGCCCTTGCAATATGCTTGTACCTGCCCTTGAACTCCCAAGGCAGTTCTATGTGTATCTGTCACTGAAAATGGTATCTGTGCTTAATTCCTCCCCCCATATCATCTGTGCTTAATTCCTCCCCCCATATCATCTGTGCTTAATTCCTCCCCCCACTGATAATCAGAGAGAGTCTGGGGATGTTGGGACGCTGGGGAACACTACTTGTGCAACGGTGCCACATTACTTACAGGACAAACCTGGAAGTGACATTATGCTTCTACAGGAATTGCCAGAAATTTTGTGGTTTTACCATAGAGTTTCTGGTGATTCCCAGAAAGGCATGATGTCACTTCTGGGTTTCCACTGGAAGTGACATAACACCATCACACTAATGGCTATTTTCACTTAGTTTTTCTCCCACCAGCTGCTAGAGCGGAGGCAGGCAATGGGAGTTGGGGGCAGGACAGCTCCTGCTCCCAAGAGGAAAATAGTCCACAGGCTGTATGCCATGTCCAACAAAGTGCATCACAAATGACAGTTGCCCTGCTCTTTGAGTAGATGTTGTTCTCAGAGTAGATATAACTACAAACACCTCTTGATATAACCCATCGTTCCCTGGCAGATTAGCACAGAAAGAATATGTAGTTAATTCACTTCATCTGAGTAACAGACTCATTTGGAGAATGTATATACATTTTTATGCAACAAGTAGAAGGCAGATGGATTCAAAACCTGCAAAAAGGGACCATGTGTAGGTGAAGCATCACCAAATTAATTACATTCACATCTAAATTAATATACTTATTGCATTGTTCTACTGCATCAATGGCAGAACTCCAGACAGGCTGAAATCAATAGTAGCGATCTATGAAACCCTCTGGAAAAAAACAAACCAGTAAAGTGGAGCACTTTTAGATCTCCTAGTTCTCAATAGAATTAAGCAGGTGATTAACTGTGACATCCTAAGCAGAGTTATGCCCTTCTAAGCCCTTCAATAGAGTTAGAAGGGTGTAACTTTGCTTAGGACAACTCTGCTAATCTCTCCTGTAGACATCAATGTGGTTTATAAGGGAGTGCGTGTCTCTGGATTGGCCTGTTTTACTTTTTTTATTCTGGTCTGTAAATTCCTTGAACTCCTTGGCATGCCATTCATGTTTATAATAGCTTTTGCATGAGTTTTCTTTGATATTATGATTGTATCAACAGCCTCTGTCTTTTTTCTTCATTCAGGATTTCAGTCTTTATAGCTAGATCAGTAGAAATTGGATAACTAAAGCATGGATCTCATTGATTCCACAATACAAAAAATCTTTGGCATGGAAGAATATAATTTCTCTCTCTATTTGTAAAGCCAGCGTGCCAAATGCAGGCATGTTAGGAGGCCAAATTGGGGGGGGGGACAAAGTTGGAGGAAGTCTGTCTGCCACATTTCTTCCAAGCCCAATTTCTACTCCCCAAATGACTTCTGGCAGTGAGGGGGACTGCTGTGTAGGATGTATGATCCTCCTCCCCATCTTTTCCATAGCAGGTGGGCTTCCCCACTGCCCACCCTGTAATTATTCATGGACAGTGACTTGTCCGTGTCATTATAGCAGCTATTCACCTGTGCCATGCACCTGGCCTCCTGTGCTAAAAGACAGATCCAGAAGCATCCAGTCCCAGTATGATTATTGAAAATAGCATTGATTATCTGATTAGGAGCACAACAGGTAAACAGAATGGCCAGAGTTGAATAACTCTGCAGTATTGTGGTTAGACTGCTGTAATGCAGTCTATTTGGGTGCTGCCACTGAAGAATGCTGGACACTCAGTTGCTTCAGAATGCAGCAGGCAAGGTCATAACCGGGACCCACAATGATTGGCATGCCAGGCCAGAGCTAAGTCAACTTCACTGGCTTCCTATATGTTCCTGGGCCCAGTCCAGGTTGTTCAGACCTTGAGAAAGGGCCTAGGACAAGGTCTTCCTTAAAGATGACTTCTGCTCAGAGGTCTGCGGTTGGTGCCCTGTTCTGTGTGATCACTGAGGTGAAAGGGAAGGGCCACCAGAAAGCTTCTTTTCAGCATCACAGCAAGGGCGACGGAATTCCTTGCCCCAAGAAGCACTCTTGGTTCTTTCACTTTTGGCATTCTCGTCAGATGTTTTCCAGGAGACAGGTATGTCTGCTCTGCTGATACAGTTTTTAAAGGCCGCCATTGCTTATTATCCTATGCTTGTCTGCTGCTTCTAGTTTTTGCATTTACATTTTGTTTCTACACCTTGTTTTATCATTTCAGTTCATCCAGGTGTTGCCAGGTCCCCCCTGGCCACCTTCAGGGTGTGTCTGGTAAGGCTGTCAGCTCTAGGTTGGGAAACTCCTGGATATTTGGGGATGGAGCCTGGGGAGGACAGGGACCTCAGTAGGTAACAGTGCCATAGAGTCCACCCTCCAAATCATCCATTTTCTCTAGCGGAACTGATCTCTGTAGTCTGAAGAAGAGCTGTAATTCCAGGGGACCCCCAAGTCCCACCTGGAAGCTGGCATCCCTACCCCCAATAATTAAACCCGGGGTTGGATTCAAAGCCTGCCACTTCCCCTGAGCAAATGACAGTCACTTTAGCTGAAAATCTGTCTGATTCCGCTTGTATGCAGGGTGTTAGGACTTTTTTATTTGTAGTATGACATCTTTGGAGAGAGAAACCGCTGATCCTGACACAGTTGAAGTGCAAAACCTTTTTGTTTTTTACCTACCTGCATTTCTTCTGAGCTTACTATTCCTAATGTGGCAGGAGCAGCCTAAGGAATATGTAAACAAACCATATATCAGCAAAGAGTTGTTTCAGCCCAAATTTACATAGGTCCCTGCCACACGGCAGGAAAAATACCGTCAAAAGTGCGGCTTTTAAAAGCCGCACCAAAAAAGAGATGCCGCGGCAGGATCCCATGGATCCCCTGAGCCACAGCACCATCGCTCCCCGGCATGATCAGATGCCGGGGAGAAAGCGACGGTGGTAAGGGGAGGCTGACGAACTGCGCATGCTCACACATGTGCAGTTCGGCCAGGAGCATGGGATGCGCCGGCGCAAGGACGCGCCGGCGATCCCACGGCCGCACTTGCCGCGGCCCTTCAGGACGAACCACCCAAGTAGGTAGTTCTTTTTTGGTGTGGGGTTTTGGGCGGGAGGGACGGATCAGGGACGGCCGGGCAACGATTCCCAGATGTTGCTGTGGGATCACACCCATTTGCCGCGCATCCGTTCCGTCCCTCTACCGGCCCAAAACCTCTTGTGTGACCGGGGCCATACTGTGAAAACTCCTTTGTTTTAGAACGAGCGTTGCCAGCTCTGGGGATGGAACATTTCTAGAGATTTGGGGGCAGAGCCAGGGAAGGGAGGAGTTTGGGGAGGGGATAGAGCTCAGTGGAGATGTGATGCCACAGAGCCCGCCCTCTGAAGCCGCCATTTTTTTCAGGCCAACTGTTATTTGTGGGCTGGAAATCTGAGAGAACTCCAGGCCTCACCTGGAGATTAGCAAACCCCTTCATGATATAGACAGCAGGCCAGTGTAGTGTAGTTGTTAGGCTAGGACTAAGGAGACCTGGGCCCAAGGCCATGAAGCATATTAGATGACCTTGGGTCAGTTACTCTTTTTCCCAGTAACCCACAGGAAGTCAATTTGGTTGATCCTGTGGGCACTTCTGGAATTCTGAGAAAGAATGGTGGGTGCCACCACAAAACATATGTCCTATGAGGAACAACAAATCATAAAATGGCAGGGCAATTACAAAATGTTAGGAGGTTCCAAACGAAGCATCCACCTCTGAGAGGGGCAGCAGTTTCCAAATGACTGCTCCCTGCAAATTCAGAGGTGATGCTTCCTGAGGTCTTTTGAAGCATCTCCACCAGTTCCATCATGGTAAAAGATAGACAGGACTGGCCCTTTGCTTCAGGGAAGAGGTGTTTGGGAAATTAGCAATTGGGCACCATAAACTATGGCACCATTGAGGATTACTGTCATAACCTCTCACACAGTGTTGTTCTGAGGATAAAAAATGGCGGGGAAAACCATGTATGCTACCCTAAGCTCCCTGGAGGAAGGGTGAGATAACATGTGATGGGGAGGCAGACAGATATCTTAACCCACATATGAAAATATAACTCCATACAACTAGCAGTGTAATCTTGTGCCAAATTATGCTGTCTGACCTCTTTGATACTGGAGTAACTCTACATAGGATTGTACGTTATGTTCTTTCGTTGACTCTGAGAAATTGCTGTATAGTGAACAAGTTTATTTATTTATTTATTATTTGTATTTATACTCCGCCTTGCCTGACAAGCAGGCTCAAGGTGGCTAACAGGATTAAATAACATGACATAAAAACAAGTAAACAACAACAATTAGAGAACCACATGCATTCTATTATGCTCCTGTATGGGACACATTTATAATCTTTACATTCAAATTAAAAGCTGAAATGCATAGCTTCTGATCATAGACTCATGATAATTTCAGCAAATACTAAATCCCTGACATCTGAATAGCTGCATTTGTTTTTTACTTTTTTAAAAAAGGACACACTGCCTGGATTTTGTGGCTTTGTCATATTTTACAATGACTTACAAAAGAAGGGGATTATACAGCTGAAATGGTAGAGCTGTGCAGATAAGATCCAGTGAGTTATAGAACAAAATTCAAGTACAGCTGCACCTAAAGACCAACAAGATTTCCACGGTATAACCTTATTTTTAACCAATTTTTTAAAAAAATTCATATATAACCAAAAACAACACAACCAAGTTATTAAAAATAGTAATGCCAATAGTGATGTATATTTAACATTCCAGGGTATAAGCTTTTGAGAGTCAAAGCTCTCTTTGTCAGATACCTTCATGGAAAACTTGTTTGTCTTGCTGGTCTTAAAGATGCTACTTAGGCTTGCCAAGTCCCCCCGGGGGGTGGGGAACCCCCTGCCCCAGAGGCCTGTTCCCCACCGGCGGCGGATCGGGCCCCGGGGGGAATTCCACCCCAATGTGCACGTCACCCAGAAGTTACGTGACGACACCGGGCACGCTGGGAGCGGGGCCACGGTCATCCGAGGGCAAACTCTATGGTTTTACCTCGGATGGTCATGGCCCCGCCCCCAGCATGCCCGGTGGCGTCATGTCACTTCCGGGTGACGTGCATGCAGCACGCGCAGTCCAGCCGCCAGCCGGGAGTCCCCCGCTGCGGCTCAGTTACCGACTTGGCAACCCTACTGGATGTGAATCTTGGTCCTCTGTTGCAGACCAACACGGTTGCCCACCTGAAACTGTCCTTGTAGAACACAGTAAATCTGTGCCCAGGAACACAGGGTAGGGGAAACAAGTAACCTACGGCCTTCATTACCATCCCTGAGGGTTCCCTTTCATTTTTAACTCTGGGGATAAATGTAAAGAGCTGTACTTGGGGATAGTATTGTACTAGAGGGAATTTTTTTCCTTTGTCCTGATGCTGGATAGGACAATTTCTGTGGGGGGATTCCACATGTCTTGTGGGGAGAGCACACAGAGATGTACTCCAGCACCTGGTCCTTGCAAACCCCCCCCCTAAACCATCATAATGGTGGAAATTTCATCCATCAGTTGTATATAAATGTCAGATACTTACTCCTTGGTTTGCTGCATAAGACAGGTAGTACATACTGGGATAAATCTAGACAAAGGAGAGAGATCGGTTTAATGACTAGAGTTTGGCTTAGGAGACGGTTGCTATTTGTCATTTTGATGTAAAACTGTAGGATATTCAGAGTGGAGAGAAAATACCCAGTTTAGATCAGACAGACTGCCCACTTCGGTCAGCATCCTGTCCTCAATTACAGCCATGTAAAAATGTTCGAAGACAGCTCGTCTATGCAGTTTACATTGGTTAAACTCATTCCCTCCAACAAGGAATTTTCAGCACATAACCAGAGTACATTTCCCAGGATTCTTTTAGAGAACTGATGACAGTAATTTTAGTGTAATATAGATACAATCAAGCATGTCACTGATTATGATCTTCCATTGTATGAATATTTCTGTCCATCTTGACCAAGTTAAGCCTTATTATTCGTATCAAAATCTAGTTTCTTTGAATGTATATTGCCCATCGATAGGGCTGGGTTTGGGGGAGGGGAGGGGGGGCTTCTGGACAAGATAATCCTTTAGTTATCTAAGCAGGTGTGGCTTCAGAATTAACTTGGCTGGGTGTAACATATGAAGCAGTAACACATTCATGATTGAAGTAACATCAGAAAAAGCCTTGTGTTAACAGGGAGGTGTGCTGTGTAGCACTCCAGCCGTCCCAGATGGGGAGGGCGGGGTAAAAATGTCTAAATAAATAAAATAAAATAAAATAAATAAAAGCAGACTGTTCTCCACCTCCACCCTCACCACCTGTATTCTTATAGCATTTTGCATCTGGTCATCCTGGCCATTGGCTGCTTGGTCTTGCAGCAGTATAGTCTTGTAATAGATCTTCAGGCAATGCAGCATGCCCCCCCCCCTCCAGTTGCGAAGAAAGTCATCTGCTGCATGGGAATTCGGTTCAGGTAGAAACAACCCCATACAGCAGAGTCAAGCTTGTAGGATTCACCCCACCTCCCAGTAGGACTGGTGGGAACTGCTGCCTGTGGCTCAGGCAAAAATGCAGGTGTGGTGGGGGAGAGAACAGGACCAGTCAAAGTGATCCTAACCCTCCCCTGAGGCATGAATAAGGTTGCCAGCCTCCAGGTGGGAACCTGGTTATCTCCTGGAATTTCAGCTCATCTCTAGACTATAGAGATCAGTTACCCTGGAGAAAATGGATGCTTTGAAAGGTGGACTTTATGGCATTGTACTCATTGAGGTCCGTGCCCTTCCCAGACTCTATCTCCAGATCTCCAGGAGTTTCCCAACCTGGATCTGACAACCCTACCCTGCCATCCCCTGCCAGTGGCCAGTGGGGACCAGGCAACCCTAATGAATGTACCCAGAAACAGTGACTGTATTGGGGCTACCGTGTGTGAAATATGTGGAGAGTGAACTTACAGATTGTTGCTGTGGCTGTTGTACTGGGTCCTGTGGGGTTGTGAGCAAACCTGGGTAGATCTTTGCAAAGAGAAGAAGTAGAAAAGAGTTGAATGAGGGCATAAATTAAACGTACACAGAGCAGGTACTTCGATATATGCATAAGTATAGAAGAAAGTTAACCTTCACATATTTTTGTTGGGTTTGGCATTCTGTCAGTGATCTCTCCTTCCTGCCCAAGATTCTCATGGTTGACTTTGTGTCTTTGTATATATTTAACTTTGGTTGTAATTTTGGGGGGTTGGTTTTAATGGTCTTAAAATGTGGTTTTACTATGTATATTTTCATTTGTTAGCTGCCTAGTGACCCTTGTGAGGGCAGAAAAGAGATATAAATTTTGTAAAGTAATAAAAAAATGAAAGGAACAAATAACAATGACTTAACTGTAAATAAGTATTGTTTGCACAAGAGCTTATTGTGCAGAACCATGCTGTTTCAGTGTTCACCTAATACACATTTTTTTAGTGCTTTTCTGCATGGGATTTTTTTTGTGTCAGTTCTGGCCCCATACTGCTTCACTTTATCCCCTGATTTCCACATGCATTTTTGTGCCTTTAATTTTCACTTCAGGTGTTCCCCCCCCCTCATTTCCCCCAGCTCTTTTGAGACTACTTTTATCCCAATTTGGGGTTGAATTGGAAGCCGGTTTTGAGTCATCTTTTTCCTAGTGCGTAATATTTCTATTTGTTTTCTTTGCCCCACCCACCTCCAGCTCACTTCTCAATTACTGGACTTTCATCATTTACTCCCTCTCCACCCCATCCCAATTCATTATTTCAGTTTTTAAAGACCTAAAATAGCAATATAATGCTATAGTGTTGTTATGGCTTAAAGAGGATCTCTGAATCCCCGCTGTCTTTCTGTTTTTTAAAAGTAAGTCTCTATCACCTTTTGTCACAGAGATATAAGGAAAAAGGCATATATCTGTGAGGGAAGAGGAAAGAGACTTACTTTTTAAAAAATGAAAGCTGGGAATTCAGAGAAGCTGCTTAAACTATCATTGCAATACTACAAAACCACATCTCTATTTTAGGATCACTTAAAAAAAATAAGAGGGGTGCTGTCACACCACTGATAACAACACTGATGATAACAGTACCTTTCCTTTAAAATCCTCATTATTGAAGGCACATGCAGAAGAAAAAATAAACTGACTCCACAACTGGAAAAATGCACGGTGGGGGGGAGACGTGTGGAAGAACGTTAACCAAACTGATTCCAATTATTGTGGATTGACTCCCAAGAAAATCAAGAGTAATTCGAGTGTGCACAAAAGGTCATAGTAGTCCTTTTAAAAGCCTTGAATGGTAGATTCATATTATTATCCTCCTGTTTTATGGTTGAGGAAATAACAGCTTTCCAAAGTCCAGCTAACGAATTCACCGCTGGGGTGAAATCTGAACGGGGATCTTCCAAGTTCACATTTTTAGCCACTTCTATGTGCCAACTCTTATTTACTTTATCCACCATGAAATGAAACTCAGTAAACATTAGTGAACTAAGGAGATATGCCATAAAAATGCATACTTACTGTCTGACCCAATGTCCTCAAGTATTCTTGAAATGATAACTGTATTATCAAAAGAAGATAGGTTAAAACCATACAATTTACAAGGCTTAAATTGAATAAAGGCTGGATCAATGGTTGGTCTTAATGTACTCTTAAAGGTGAATGCACTTAAAGCAGTCTTTTTGTTGTCTGGATTGGACTGAATGTATGGATTGAAACATATACATACTTAGAAGCTCAATGACCTATCTTAGACAGGAATTCTCCTACTGTACTAGAAGGATTTTTCAAGCAACACAGAGAAGGTTTGTAATCCCTCATATAAATTATGCCTTATTACCATTCTGTTTGTACTAATAATTTTTTAAAAACCCAAACTGATTGAATACTATAGTTCCTGTCAGTCATTTCTTTTTCCAGTGCTCTACTTCTACGCCATCAAGTCTAATCTTGGCCTATATTTCTCGAGGAATGGTCACTATTTGGAAATTTTCACATGCCTAAAAATCCAAAGGGCCAAAATTTCTTCTCTAATCCAGCTACTGTTCTTCTCCTGGGCTGTTAGCAGCAGTCCTTAAAAATAGTCTCCTGGAGCTGAACAAGATAGGGTTGGATCCAACCAACTTTTCCAGCTCATTCTCAATTCCCCTCTTTATTATAGTCCTTATCACACATTGCTTTTGTTCCAGCATAGCCTTTTTGGTGGTCCAGTGGGACTCCCTTCTCCCTTTATCACCAGCAGAAAAGCTGGATGGATCCAACTCATAGAGCATAAAATGCACCTGCAGGAGGTACACTTTATTAACTAAAAGGGCACCCTCCTATAATTAAGCCTAGGCTGGCCAAACTAGAGGCTTCATACTGCCTGCCAGTCACAGGAGTTGTACTCTCTTACCATATCTAGTGTTGCACACTCTTACTCTACTCTGTACCTAATAGTCAGTCAGTCAGTCAACCTTTATTGGCATAGATAAAATACAGCATGGATCACATTTTAAAATGCATATCAAAATTATGCAAATATAAACAGTCAATCCACCGGGGCTTTACCTAGTAAAGGCTCTCTGGTCAGGTCCCCCAACATGTGCCATGAGGTTCCTAGTTCAAGCACCGGAGTCCCTGAAAACTGTCTTTAGTATGACTGGGTTTGGGATTGATATGTCAGCTGCCTATAAAAACCAACCTGTTGCATCTGCCTGTCTGGCAGCTGCAATTGTTGAACAACTGGGTGACGTCCTTCCGGTTGTAGGAATGGTTTTTGCTGGAATGGTGGCTGCATATCATACTGTTGGGGTTGAATTTGCCTAGGAGTATATGGAATTTGATTTGCCAGTAGGAAGGGAAATTGCTCTTGTATTCCAGGAGGCTGAAGGGGAGTTTGCTGAGATGGCAGAGGAGGCGGGTGCACCGGCATCGAATATTCGTACTGTGGAGTGATGGGAAGATAAATAGTCATAAGGAAAAGGATGACACCATCAATAAATTATCTCCAAGATGGTGGATTAGCCAACATCATCAACTTAATTTTTTGAAAGTCATTCTACAGAGCAAAGAATAAAACACTGATTCTGCCAGTACTCTGAAGAAGTATCCTAAGACATTTATTTATTCATTTATTTATTTATTTATTTATTTATTTATTCGACTTGATATACCGCCCTAACCCCCTTAGGGGTCTCTGGGTGGTTTACATTGAGGGAGTGCTAATCACATTGAATATCCTAACTTAGGCCACATTATTTCTAGGGGGGGGACAGCCTACCGGCACCCTGGTGGAGGCTGATGTCCTTCGGCTTGCTTCATTCCCGGTAGTCTTGCTGACTTGCTGTTTCTTCTGGCACTTGGTCCGGCACACAGTCTACGTCCTTTCCCGGCCCCGGCTGCATCCTTTTCGGCTCCGCCGCGCCTGTGGATGACGTCACTGTGTGCTTCGCTGTACGACAGCCGGTTGTTGTTCCCGCCGCTGGCCACCGGGGATCACTCCTCTGCTGCCGCTTGCTGCTGCCGCATCGCCACCCCACGTCGCTTCCACCACCGATAATCCGCCATTGATGCCGTTGCCGCCGTTGCCATCCACACGCCTCATCAGAGGAGGAGGGTGCTCCCCACCCTTCTAAGGGTGGGTACCCATTCATCTACTCGCATTAAGATTTTACGTCTGCTTTCGAACCGCTGGGTTGGCGGGAGCTAGGACTAGGGTCGAGAGCTCACCTCGACCGCGGTGGGTCTCGAACAGCCATAGTGGCTGCTCGAGTGTTGTTAAAGCAGGCGTTTTACTGCCTGCGCCACTGCTCCCTGCGGTTTACTGCCTGCGCCACATCGCTCTAACTGCAGTCCTTATTATCATATAATTTTTTTAATTTTAAAAATTATATACCAACTCTCCAGAGACTGCTCAGTGTGGCTTACAGCCAAGATGATAACACAAAGCTGTTAGAGCACGCCCACAAAAATGAAATCCATGAAAGACACAGCATGGAGGTTCTTCATTCATAAGTATTTGGTACATGGTTCAGATTTTTTTTAATTAACATAGGTGATTTTTGACAAAAAAATTAAAAACTCTTTCCATATCAGCTACCAATTCCAGGTATGACTGTTCTCTGTTATATGACTTTGTGAGGTTGCATTATTATTCTCAGTGTAAGACAGTAGGTTGGATCCCGCGAGCTTTCCCACTGAATCTCATTCAGTTCCCTTCTTCCCTGTCCTGAGTGGTGAGTTAAAACACCCTCCTCTGGTAGTTCATCCCAAAGGACTGGATCCACCATGGGAAAAACCTGAGACCTTGCAGTTCCCATACAGATAGTCCTAAGGGAGGACACCATAAGATGAAGGGTATCTAAAGTACATAACTGGTACACTGGAGGGTATCGGCAGATGAGGTTCAGCAAGTGTGAAGGGCTTTAAATGTAACAGCCAGCACTGTGAATCGGTCTAGGGAAAAACAGGTAACCATCACAGCTGACAAAGCACCGGAGTTGTGTGTTCCCAGCAGCTGACTCCAGGCAGGAGTCTCACTGCTACATTTTGCACTGAGTGAAGCTTCCAAGACATCTTCAATGGCAGCCCTGTGTACAGCATATCAACAGGAGTCCAGTCTAGAGGTTATGGAAGCATAGATCAGTATAGCTAGGTCAGGAAAGCCTAAACACAAGCTAGATGTAACTGAAAGAAGGTGCTCTTGGCAACAATGCTGACCTGTTTATCCATTAAGAACATAAGAGAAGCCAATGTTGGATCAGGCCAATGGCCCATCCAGTCCAACACTCTGTCACACAGTGGCCAAAAATACCAGCTGCCATCAGGAGGTCCAGCAGTGGGGCCAGGACACTAGAAGCTCTCCCACTGTTGACCAACCCCCAAGCACCAAGAATACAGAGCATCACTTGCCCCAGAGTTCCTATCTATACCTTGTGGCTAATAGCCACTGATGGACCTCTGCTCCATATGCTTACCTAATTCCCTCTTGAAGCCGTCCATGCTTGTAGCCGCCCCCACCTCCTATGGCAGTGAATTCCATGTGTTAATCGCTCTTTGGGTGAAGAAGGCTGAGTCCAGGAGCACCTCCAAATTCTTAAGTTGGTCTACCAAAGACAGCTTAACCCCATCTAAGTCTGGTAGATCAACACCAGCCAAACATTCTGCCTCCCCAACCAACATCACCTCCATCTTCTCCAGATTAACCTTTAATTTGTTCACCCTTGGTTATTTGACCACAGCCTCATGCAATGCTCCCTCTAAGCTGTGGAGTCTTGTGAGCAAAAATTCTACTTTGTGAGCTACTGGCATCAAAGTTGTGAGTGAACGATTTAGTTATGGAATAAATTAGTTTGCTCTGGAGCCGTTCTTCCTGAGCTAAGACAAAAATGTGTGATCTGGAGGCTAAAAACTGTGCTAGCTCACAATAACTCAGCTTAGAGGGAACACTGGCCTCAAGACACTGGTCCAGAACCTTCACAGCTTCCAAGTGGTGAGTGTCAATGTATAGTAAAATTATGAGGGCTCTGTTCTGCTACCCTTTGTTCAAGTGATCTCTATTTTAATTGCAGTGAGTTGCTTTTGTAGATCTCAGGCAAAGACCAAACAAGTGTAAATAATCTGATCCTTGGAGAACATTTCTGGAGATATTTTTAGAAACTCAGTTGGAAAATTGACGGACATTTTGGGAAGTATTGAGAAACCTAACAAAAAGTTTCTTCATGCATTTGGTGTAGTGGGTAAGTGTGCAGACTCTAATCTGGGAGAACCAGGTTTGATTCCTCACTCCTCATGCAGCTGCTGGACCTTGGGCAAGCCATAGTTCTGTCAGAGCTGTTCTTGAAAAAGCAGTTTCTGTCAGAGCTCTCTCAGCCCCACCTACCTCACAGGGTATCTGTTGTGGGGAGGGGAAGGGAAAGGAGTTTGTAAACCACTCTGAGACTCAGAGTGAAGGGTGGGGTATAAATCCAATCTCTTCTTCTTCTTCTCTTCTTAGTTGAAACTTTCTCTCACTCCATACACTTTTGGATTTATCACAGGAAGAATGACTCACCTGTTGAGTATCATGCTCATGAAGTCTTCGCTTCCCCCAAAAGGATGGTGATGAATGCGATGGAAGGAAATTGTGCATCCACATATGGAATGGATCAGCATAGGTATAGTGCCGAGCATACTAAAGGAGCGATGGAAAGAGAACATATTTATTCTTAAACCATAATTCAGACTTTAAAGCCATTAACGGCTCAGGCTACAATTCAGGCTGAATATCCAGGAGTCAAAATTAAATACCTTGGATTCAAATGAATACACAACTAACAAATATTTGTACAGCTTTTCAAATAGCTCCTGTTCTGTTTACCAGTCCATTCTTTTCTGCTTGATCACATCACTAAATTTAGTTAGAGAGAAAGCGATGGAAGGAATAATAGGCATTTATTTGTTTACCTGCTACTTTTACCTTTGTGCACCAAAAGAGGCCTCAAGGCAGTTTACAAATGACTGAGGAAATTCTGAATAAAACCACATCAATAAAGCCTTCAAAAATTAGGGGAAAATAGTTTGGTTAGAATGGCCTATGTGGGTTGCCCACTCTGGGTTGGAAAATTCCTACAGACTTGGAGGCAGAGCATATGGGAGGGGAGGATCTGGAGAGCAGAGGGACCTCAGTGGGGTATAGTGCCACAGAGGTTGCCCTTCAAAGCAGCTGTCTTCTCCAGGAGAACTGATCTCTGTAAATCAACTGTAATTCTAAGAGATCTCCAGGCTCTACTTGGAGTCAATCCAGATCAAGTTGCTTGTAAGAGAGATCTGGTCTACACATGCATAAGAATTAAGTGGTAGAATTCTGAGATGGTAGAATGGACTGTGGCTGCAGTCATGAAATTAAAAGATGCCTGCTCCTTAGGAGGAAAGCGATGGCAAACCGAGACAGCATAGTAAAAAGTAGAGACGTCACCCCGCCAACAAAAGTCCATATGGTCAAAGCGATGGTATTCCCAGTAGTAATGTATGGCTGCAAGAGTTGGACGATAAGGACGGCTGAGCACCAAAGAATAGATGCTTTCGAATTATGGTTGTGGAGAAGACTCTTGAAAGTCCCTTGGACTGCAAGGAGAACAAATAAGTCAATCCTAAAGGAAATCAACCCTGACTGTTCCCTGGAAGGCCAGATACTTAAGATGAAGCTCAAATATTTTGCTACCAAATGAGAAGGGAACATTCACTGGAGAAGACCCTGATGCTGGGAAAGACTGAAGGTAAAAGAAGAAGGGGACAGCAAAGGATGAGATGGTTAGACAGTGTTATTGATGCAATGAACATGAAATTGAGCAAACTTCAGAGGACGGCGGAAGACAGGAGGGGCTGGCATGATGTTGTCCATGGGGTCGCAAAAAGTCAGACTTGCAACTGAATGGACTATACCTCATTGAAATGCAGGAAAGGGGTTATGTTCTTAATGCTCCCTCAAGTAAAACGTCCTGCAAATAAAACACACTAGCTTATCAGGGAGAAAGTTCTAGCTTAGCTCTTCAAAAGCTGTGCCAGTTTTCTACTTTCTGCTTATTTAATGTAAGGAAACTTCATGAAACGTAATCCCCCATGTACTGTCTGGTAGCATCATCCATTCAAACACCTTTGCACTTTCCCACCACATTACCACCTCGTTCTGCTGCATTGGTACTAGCTTGAGAAAAGTCATGCTTAGTCTCAAATCAAGCATAAAGCCATGCTGCATGCCTCCAAATCTATGGAACAAGTTAGCTGAAGAGACAAAATTCAGAACTATTGCTGTCCATAGGATCAATAGCCAAATCCTGTCAAAGTTTCTTTGGCAGTAAATCCCATGGAGAGTAATGAAGCTTAGTCTTACCTCCAGGTTAGACTACTGTAACCTGCTTTATGCTGGCATGCCCTTGAGACTGACCTGGAAGCTCCAGCTGATCTAGAACATGGCAGCACAAGTCCTGATGGGAACATCACAGATGGCACGTATACATCCAGTGCTGTGCTAGCTGCACTGGCTTCCAGTGAAATACCGAGTCAAGTTCAAGGTTTTGGTTTTGATCCATAAGGCCTTGAGTGGTCAGGGACCAACACATCTACAGGACTATCTCTGTCGTTATGTCCCCAAAGGGGCACTGTGCTCTTTGGATAAAACACGCTGGTGTTCCCTGGCCCTAAGAATATCTGGCTGACCTCAATCAAGGCTAGGGCCTTTTTGGCCCTGGCCCCACCCTGGTGGAACTGTCTTCCAAATACCATCAGGGCCCTGCGGGACCTTGCAGAATTTCGCAGGGCCTGCAAGGCAGAGATGTTCCACCAGGATTTTGGTTGAGGACAGTGGTGGTTTTCATCTCAGCTGACATCCTCCTCTGTTTTCCATGCTCATTTCAACTCCTCCCGCCTGGCCGTGAAGTGGCCGGCAGTCTGTAATTATGGGAACAATTAATTAATAAGTGTTAGTATTCACCCTCTGTTTTAAAAATGTATTCTAATATGATTTATTGTTTTTATTTGGCCAATGTTTTTAAATGTTATTGTACATCTCTCAGAGCTCCGCAGCAGCAGGGATGGGTACATTAGGTAGAAGAAGAAGGTGCAGTTGAGTTGCACATGGGCAAGAGAAGAGTGGAGGTGGTTTGCCATAGCCTTCCTCTGCGTAGCAGGCCCAGTCTTCCTTGGTGGTCCCCCATCCAAAACCTCGGAGAAGCTCGGGCTAAACTGGCCTATCCAGACTGCTCCATTATCTTGAAATGATTACTTAGAGAGTATTTTTTGCAGGATGTCTCCCCCTGACTAGAGGAATGTGTTCCCACATATTGGATAATATTGGTAGCATGTCTGTATAATGAAACAGGAACATAGGAGACCTGTTCGGTCACACCTAAGATCCATCTAGTCCAACATCCTGGTTCCAATATCAGTCTGGCAGATGCTTCCAGAAAGTCCAAAAGTAGGGCATGAAGACTTCTCCACAACTTTGTCTACCAGTAGTTGTATTCAGAAGTACACTGGTGTTTCACATGGAAGTCCCATTAAGCTTTTATGCCTAATAGCCATGGATAGGCTTATCCTGCATAAAATTGCTTAATTCCCTTCTAAAGCCATGTAAACTTGTGGTTATTGTTAGATGTTACACAGAAAATTCTATAAATTAATTTATAGTGTTATGAGAAAAAGTAGAAAAATATCATCTCTGTTTCCTTTATCCACGCCATGCATAATTACATAAATTTTGACCATGTGTCAAAGGCTTCTTAACTCCAGCCTGGTTTCTTAACTGTACTGGCTTTTGCTGTTTTTGCTGTCCCATTTTTCTCATGTTCCCCCCCCCCTTTTAGACCACTGCAAAGCTGGTCTAAAAAAAAAAACAGGGGAAACTCGAAGAAAAACCAGGAAACCAGTGACCAGCAGATGATAGTGGGAAAAACCAATGCACTTAAGGTATGGGGTTGAAACAAAAACTTGGTGCAGAAGCACCCAAAGCCTTTTAAACTGTTCAGTCATTGAGGTTATACAGATTTCAGATGGGGAGCCATTGGCTTGAAAGTATCTCCAGGTGAAAATCACTCCCCACATCAACACTTAACTCTGGGTGCCCTGGCCTGGATACCCCAGGCAAACTTGATGTATTCAGATTTAAAAAGGTTAAGCAGGACTGACTCTGGCAAGTACGTGGAAGGGTGACCTGCAAGGAATACCAGGGCTGGGATGCAGAGGCAGGCCAATCAAGCCACCTCTCTGAAAAACATCCAAGCCCCCAGTAGGAGTCACCATAAGTCAACCATGACTTTGTTATTATTACATGAGAGGATTAACCTCAATCACTTATGCTACTGAACATTTCAATTGCCCTTTCGAAAGAGGGGGTACCCCAGCATCTTGAGCCCTGGCTGCTACTCCGTTATTCGTAATTTCTGCCCTGTATACACTGTAACAAGTGTAGCTTTGGATGCGTGCCAAAAGCCTGTCAATATTATTGAAGAATGAGGTGCGCACTTAACAGATTGACTGCCATCATAACACAGGATGCAATCTGCTCAGAAGGAGATTGTGTATCTTTGCAGATGAACAACTGTGCTCTTCTGTGACATTGATGCTTTAAAATGTGAGTCATAGAATATATTTCTGTAGAAAATTGTTGGCCACAGCCCTAAAAACTGTAATAAAAATCCTACATGCAATAGAACTGATTTGTTTCTAGTCATCACAGAAATTATATCTGAGAGATACAAAACCACAAAGGCCACAACTCCTAGAAACATTAAAAAAATAACATGATGAATCCTCATTTTGAAGTACCAGTTACTTTGCAAAAGTTTCTTCATCGTGTTTTCATTTCTGATCATAACTATCTGTACAACTGCAAGCGGAGTTACACCATTCTAAGCCCATTGACTTCAGTGGGTTTAGAAGCATATAACTCTCCTTAGATTGGCATTGGAAGTCATCACGTATCCAGAATAGAATCGCCAAGAGTTGGACACGACTGAATGGCTAACAACAACAACGACATCCAGATAGCTTGACCAGTAATCCATGCTGCATGTTCCCAATATAGCCCTATGACATTGTAATGGTGTGTGCAGGTGCATCCTTACAGTTCTTAGTTTGGATTCTGTATGCAACTAATTTCCAGTGGGGGAGAGGGTCTGCAGTGGAACCAGTCATGCTTTCCCCAGAGACTCTTGCCAAGCTTTAATTGGAATGCCATGGTAAGACCCTGGATAAGCCATAGAAAGCACTCTTAATTGGCCACAACATTTTATATGTCTCATAGATCATTTGGATAAATGACATCGGAAATTTAACTTTGTGGCAAATATTCACAATCCATAGTGCGCTCCTCTTTATACACAGATTTTCTAGTAACGACGAGGCCATGCTGATGTTCAGACTGTACACGTGACGAAGTGTTGATTATATTGCCTTCTCTCTTGATCAGGTTGCCCTGTCTCCAAGCCCAGGTTCCATTCATGCTTGGAAATTCATGTTTGCTCAGGGGCCAGTGTGCCCATAGCTGCCATTCACGCACTCAGTACAATCCAAATTGTACAAAATTATGCAAACGGTATCAAAACAAGTTGCACTCTTTGTGTGTAAACCCCTGTCCAACTGAGAATTATGTACAAATAGAAGACAGCAGCTGAGCAAGCATGCCAAGGAGGTAGTATAGTTTGGCATGCACCCAATCTCCTACCAATTGTACATTTTAAGCATTAGCATAGGACTGTAAGTTACTGTTGCCTTCAGTATTTGGGGAATGCCTAAAGATCTCTGGGAACTGTAGTCTCGTGAAGCTGCCCAAATTTTTTGTTAGGAAGTGCCATCTGCATCGCAGAACTCCATTTCCCAAGGGTACTTCTTGGGATCCTGATAGTTTGGCTTACTGTTCCAAATCTTTTGAGTGCAGATTTTTTAAAAAAGAAACTTAACATTTTATGTTGGCTTGGATGCCAGTTACTAAATTTTGCCAGATATTTCCCTGTGCTCTGCTTAGTAAACTTCACCCTCAGATTCCACTTTTGACAATGTTATTAGATAAGCCAGCAAATAAGTCTCAGTGCATACTTACAGGCCGATCCCCTACTCTAAACATCTGGATTTATGTTTGATTACGCATACTTTATTTTGCTTCACCTGTGTATTTCAAAATTTATCTTATTTAGCTATGCCTTTGACTTTAGGTGTATTAATCAGGGCATTTTTTGTAGAAAAAGCCCAGCAGGAACTCATTAGCATATTAGGCCACACCCAACAGCAGAAACACATTAGCATGTCAGGCTACACCCTGACAGCACCAGTCATTAGCATATTAGGCCACACCCCCATGTTACCAGAAATGTGGTCATCCAGCCACACCCACCTTTTGATTCTTATTCTGTTTATCTTGTTTGTTGTCAAAACCCAGAGCTTTTTTTATAGTAGGAACTTTTTTGTATGTTAGGCCACACACCCCTAATGTAGCCAATCCTAATGAGTTTCTGCTGATGGGTGTGGCCTATTATGCTAATGAGTTCCTGCTGGGTGTGGCCAACTTGGGAGCCAGCCGGAACTCCGTTCCTGTGCGTTCCTGCCCAAAAATAGCCCTGGTATTAATCATAGTTCTGACAAGTTCCATTTAAGGTACAAACAGTGCAATACTCTGTGGAGTTACTCTAGTATGAGTTCATTGAAATCTATGAGTTTAGATGTTTCCGCTTTCTCATTTTCCTTGTTTTAAGTTCTGGTTCCTTTGGGGGGGGGGTTCTCTTTTGCACGTGTTTTGCTCCCTCTAGTGGTTGATTCAATATTACATTGGTTTATGTCTAACATAAAACCCTGCACGTTAAATCTGCAGGGTGATATTGTGGACATAAACAGATATAATTTCAAATTGACAGGCTTCCCAAGTACTTACTGTGATTCGGCGGGGGACACAGACGCCTTCGCAGGATCGTTCCTGCGGGGACAACAGACACGTCGCACCATGCCATCACCAGGAAGTGACGCTGGGTGATGCTCTGGCAATGGGGCTCGAAACTCGATGGTACCATTGAGTTTTCAGCCCCATTGCCAGAGCGTCACCCAGCGTCACTTCCTGGCGATGGCATGCTGTGTTACAGGGAGGAATGGTCTGGCTGGAGAGCATGTTTTCCCCGCCGGATGGTGGTAAGTACTTGGGAACTCTATGAATTGACCACTAGAGGGAGCAAAACACATGCGAAACAGAACAACCCCCCCCCCAAGGAACAGTAACTTACAGACAAGGAAAATGAGAATGTGGAAAATCCCTAGAGTAACGCTCTATAAGATTACATTGTCAATTGACCAGCTGTCTACAGAAGTTTTTGTAATGACTTCCAAATAGGCTACAGCATAATACTTGCCAGGGCAACAGCAAAATATATACCTCAAGGCTTATACTACCTATTCCAGGTATCCCACTGTGCTGAAGAAGTATTTGTGAACAAACAAATTATCTCTTGGAATTTCTTCTCCCCCCCCCCAGCATTTGCTGATAGGAAGATAGAAAGATGTTAGTGGCTTTTATCTGGGAAGCAGAAGGAGGAGGAGGAGGACATTGGCTTTACACATCACCCTTCACCACCCGAAGGAGTCTCGGAGCAGCTTACAATCACTTTCCCTTCCCCTCCCGACAAGAGACACCCTGTGAGGTGGGTGTCTTGAGAGAACAGCTCTGAAGGAACTTATGACTGACCCAACGTCACTCCAGCAGCTGCATGTGGAGGAGTGGGGAATAAAACCCGGTTCTCCCAGATTAGAGTCCACCACTCTTAAACACTACACCAAACTACTACACCAAGAGGTGACAAGAAGCAAGCTTTCCCATCGATGATTATTCTGATCTCATGGAATTAATATTGTATTCGTAGAAAATGACCACAGATTTACACTCCATGTTGTTGACACACAAAAATAACACTCCAGGAAAATGTTCTTAGGATTGCAACGTATCACCTCTATAAAACTCTATCTTCTCTAGTCTGAAATTTTTGACGTAAAAGTGCATACAGTTTGATGTAAAGGTATATTGGAATTACCGGCATAGCAGAGCATATTTCTAACAGACAGGAGACAAGTATCCATCGTTTCATATCTGTGATGCTATTTGGAGCAAAAACTGTCTGGAAAACGTTTTCTGATGAGGATCTGGTCCTGGAATTGAAACACAGTACACAGTGAAATGGTCTGTACGAATATCATATTGACACAAATTATGGTTTGGCTGATTCTTACAGCTTGTCTACAGTAGGGGTTACCATTCTGAAAACATTATCATTTGGGAAAAGTTAACAAACTGGTTCTCCATTGAAATGCAATACCCTTATTAAAAAAAAAACAGATTCCCATTATGATAAAACCAGAGATACAAACTCCATCGATGTAATAAATTCCCAGTTATGATATAGATCATGAACCATCTCTTTTTTTCAGTTTCTGCTTCTGTTATTTTTCAAGGAAGTATAATTATCGCTATGCGTTATCTGAACCCCTTAGGCAGAAGAAAATTTCTGGATTTTGTCTTGTTTTGTTTTTGGGGGGTGGGATCTGGATTCAACAGAAGACAGCGCTCCTACACATTTACAGGCAACACAGAAGTTGCTTCTTCCTCTGTGCAGCTATTAAAACTGTTATGCTCACGAGCATGACTTGAGAAAACCATACGTACCCTGTTAGATATAAAGCACAGCTTCAGAGGGATGCTCAATGCACCTCTTTTCTAACGGGACTCTGCAAAGGGAGTGCTTGTGGATGATCTGATGACAACCACTGCAAAGATGCACCAGAAAGTATTGCTTATTTTCTCAGGAGGTAACCCACTGTGTCTCTGAATGAGTCACCGAAATAGGTTTCTTCAGTGGGACAGGGACTTGTGCCTCCATTTTTAATTTAGCAAAAACACCAGCAGGCAGACATCAGGGAAATCCAAGCAAGAGGCACATTTCGCTCTTGACACTCCATTTGAAGGTTGTGGAGGAGCCAGGGAAGGCTCCATCAGGAGTGTGCAGCCACTGCTGACTTCAGCTCCCAAGATCTCTACCTAGAGCTGCTAGACAGTCAATAAGAGCATGAAACACTTTCACCTCCTTCCCACCTACCCCCACCCCCCCAATGCCACTGGCGGATTCACACTACTGAACTGCTTCACCAGATGTTGCTTTCTCTACTGGCATCCTACATTTTGGGCTTATATCCAGAAGGAATAACCCCAAAAGACTAAGGTCTTCACAAACCACAAGGTGATTATTATCACCAAGAAAACAAGGATTTTTCAAAATTTATTTTATTTATTTATTTATTTTATTTCACTTATAGTACCCCGCCCTCCCCGCAAGCGGGCTCAGGGCGGCTTACATAGGCAAAACTGTGCAATAAAATACAACAGGATTAAAACAGTTAAGGCACCAAGTGCAATAAAAATAGAACAAGTTAAATCAATTAAAACAAAAACTCACATCTTGCAGGATGCATTAGGAACTAAAATACTCACTCCCTATTGTATATCGCAGTGGGATCAAGAGGGGGAACGCCATGGGCCAAGATGGTCCAGATGGCCAGACGGCCCAACCCGGCGGTCCTGCTCTGCAGTTACTCGGTGGTGATGGTGGCGGCGGCTCCTACTCAAAAGCCTGGCGGAAGAGCTCCGTCTTGCAGGCCCTGCGGAACTGTAAGAGGTCCCGCAGGGCCCTGATCTCCTCCGGGAGCTCATTCCACCAGGTAGGAGCCGCCACCGAGAAGGACCTGGCCCTTGTGGCATTGCAGTCAGAACATGCAGAATTGCAGTCAGAACATGCAACAGTCTGGTGTATAATACAGTCCCAGTGCCTGACATTTTTCTTCCCTGAACAGTAGCTTCCGTTGCAAATTCATAGTCTTAACAGTGAGATGATTCAAAGAGAGCATGCAGACGTCAATCAATCAATTCCCAGCTAACTCTGTACCTCGGGGGGAGTGCTGTCAAATTGCAACAGATTTCTGGTGACCCCGTAACCATATTCCAAAAGAGATAGGGCTTCTGTAGGCATTTTTACCTGCAGCAAATTTTCAGATTCTTGTGTGAATAAAATAAAACACCTAAGGGACACTGAGGGTAGCTAAAAGTTTCTCTAGGGCTAACACGTCTCAGGGCTGAATGCCAACTGGGGTAGCCATGTTAGACAGCTGAAGAGTTCCCTGGCATTTAACACCAATAAATTTGTGGTGGAATAAGCTTTTCCTGAACCAGAGCCTTCTTAGTCAGCTTTCTCAGAGGTGGTTTCCCACAATCTCTAGCCTGAAGCAGAATAAAATTGAGCAGGTACAACTTTTCACCTCACTGAAGTAAGGTGAAGGGAAAAACTGTACTAGTCATATTACTATTTATCCTTTGGCAGTTCTTAAAAAGAGAGAAGCTCGTTTGGAATACAGTCACTTTAACTGAAGCATATTCCATAGCAGAAGATGAGAACAAATTTTACCTTCACTTCTCTTGTGAGAAAATATTCCTCCAAACCTCCTGAGGCAATTCAAGAAATCTTCACAGGGTAAAGGTTTCAGGGCAATGACTTGTGAACTTGCTTCTCTCGCTCTAGAATATAAACCTAATTGAAAGGTTTGGCTGACCAATCAATACTAAGAGAGTGGGCAGGGGAATTATAGACTTCTAGTTAGATCCCACCCACCCTTTTAGAGGCACACAAAACTCACAGCTATAATACCTCATTACTTTTAATTATGTCTTCAAGTCTGTATTTACAGAAACCATCTTTTGGCCCATAGAAAATGAGCAGCAAAACAGAATTCATAACAAAATGAGGGAGAGGTAAAGTCTGTTTGGGATCCTAGGCATGAATATGGTTGCCAGTGGCCACCTTTTCACCCTGACAGAGGTGCTGTGATATCAAGTATGCACCAGGCAAAAAATCACCCAGTGCAGCTCTCCCTGATGAATATACTTCCTCAGAGCAACTGTTACATGCACAAAGTCTCTGTCCGCTGGAAAAAGTGGTGACTCTCTGGAGAATTAGGTAAAATTGAAGGAAGTACTGATCTAAGAACAGAGGTCCACCTACTTATTTCTGGATAGGAGAGAAAAACTATGGAATCAACAGTTAATCTGGGTCCTTTACCCACCCTAGTAGATAAAGACACTTACTAGTAGGAAGACACAGACTCAGAAATGTAAATGATAGGAGGCCCCGGTCACACGGGCAGGAAAATGCGGGGGGGGGGAGCGTGGCTGTTTGCCCCGGGGCAAAATAATGTGTGGTCGCGCGATCAGACGTCCCGTCTGATCCAGGTCCCGTGGTTGGGGGGAGGTGCCGATCACAGGACAATCCTGAGGCGCAGCAAAGAAGTGGCCTCTCTAGCAAAAGGCTCTGCGGGTTTAACCCCTTCCAGGGCTGCAGAGGAATGCAAACTGTGTCCTCTGTCCGGTCCCCTCCAGGAGGAGCTTCAGCCAGGCAGCCCTCCCGC